TACATGTCTCTGATCTCTTACACACGGGTCCAATCCAGCCCATCCTCCTCCTCATTATCACTCCCAGTCCCATCACGCCCTGTGAACCCCATAAAATCTTCCTCCTCAGTTGGAGCATTAAGTATTTCACAGATACGTTTCCTTTCCCGTTCTTTATCTGACTCTTGCTCCCGAGTAACCCGCTTCAAACCTCTGCCCCCATCTCCCTTCTCCTCCATTTCAGAATCTGAGAAACTTTCAAACGAATCAGTATCTGTAGGTGTCATGAATATCTCCCTAATTCATTTCCTTTGCTGCTCCTGTTCCAACACCTGAGCAGCCCTCTTACCCCTTCTACTACCAGTTGTAGCTTGACCAGCATACTCTACTGCAACAAAATATGTATTTGTTATAGCACACTGCTTTTCTCTCATGGTGATGTTCCCATTCTAGGATAGCAGCACATCCTGGATAAAACAAAATCAAAAAAGGCATGCTGCAAAATGTATCCAGAAAAATGTGCTTGCCCCCTTTCATTGAGTATCTTTTATTTATTTTTATTCAGGACCTCTTCACAAAGGCCATTTGCTTTTATTCATGGGGCCTGCCGTGAGCCATTACACAAAGTGTCCACATTCTTCCCAAAGTGAAGGGAAAGTGCCAAAAGGTGCTTCCTCCATCACTATGGGGAAGAAAGTGTATTTTGCCTAGCTCCAACAAAGCTACCTGCATTTTCCTCCTCTTTTCCCCATATGATGGGGAAAGGGCGGTGGGGCAACCTTTTCTCCCATCTGATGGGGACAAGGACAGGGTGCTAACACACACTGTCCTGTCCCCATCATATGATGGGGGAAGGAGAGAGGGCATGTGGAGCTCCACAAGCCACCCTGTACACCAGTGGTTCTCAACCTGTGGGTCCCCAGATGTTTTGGCCTTCAACTCCCAGAAATCCTAATAGCTGGTTAATTGGCTGGGATTTCTGGGAGTTGTAGGCCAAAACACCTGGGGACCCACAGGTTGAGAACCACTGCTGTACACCTTCCCTTTCACCGGCAACTGCCGGAAAAATGATACGGCTGAAAAAAAATGTCCTGAGAGCAGTTTCAGAAGTAGTCTCCTGTTACATGGAAGCAGCTTTTCTGTCTTTAGGACAATGGATGTCTTCAGTCCAGCTTCTTTTTAAACTGCAAATTGCAGGAAATCAATCTGGGACTTTTTACATTAAGGCGGTTCCCAGGTTACAAACAAGATAGGTTCTGTAGGTCTGTTCTTAAGTTGAATGTGTTTGTAAGTTGGAACAGGTGCATTATTTAAATGTAACTCTACCATATACGTGTGTGTGTGCGTGCATGCATGCACTCTGGATAGCATAGGGACTGCTTAGCACCCCTGTGGTGTTTGTTTTGCTGCCAGTGATTCTGTTCAAAAGATTTCACTGCACTTTGTCTATGTGATTATTGGATTTTGAAAAATTGGGCTTTTTGTAGGAACAAGGATTGGTACTAAAACAATAGCTGAGATATCCATTCCCCATTATAACTCTTTCAGGAGTGAATTTCCCTTCCTACGAGTAAATTTCTCTCACCCTTCTGGTGTCTCACCGCCGTTTGTAACCTGAGTCATTTGTGAGTCAGATGTTTGTAACTCAGAAACTGCCTGTATATTCTACTGTACTCTACTACTGAGATCTGGATTCTTAAGTAAAAAGAGAAGGAATCCTGTACTGGCCATAGTTGAACTCCTGCAGTCTGCTGCTACCCAAAAATTACATGAAACTACTTTTGAAGTAGAACTTTCTTTGGTGTAACAAATTTGCCTTGCTGAAATAGATCTCAGGTTGAAATGCAACCATATCTGTGTGTGGCAGCTGCACTTCATGTAAAACAGAATAAAGCATCCAGCCATACAGGCAACAGTTTCCCACACAGAGAAGATGAAGAGACTGAATATTTTTCTTCAGTACGTGTGAAAAAGATCTTGGAGTCCTCATGGACAACAAGTTAAACACGAGCCAACAATGTGATGTGGCGGCAAAAAAAGCCAATGGGATTTTGGCCTGCATCAATAGGAGCATAGTGTCTAGATCTAAGGAAGTAATGCTACCCCTCTATTCTGCTTTGGTTAGACCACACCTGGAATATTGTGTCCAATTCTGGGCACCACAATTCAAGAGAGATATTGACAAGCTGGAATGTGTCCAGAGGAGGGCGACTAAAATGATCAAGGGTCTGGAGAACAAGCCCTATGAGGAGCGGCTTAAGGAGCTGGGCATGTTTAGCCTGAAGAAGAGAAAGCTGAGAGGAGATATGATAGCCATGTATAAATATGTGAGAGGAAGCCACAGGGAGGAGGGAGCAAGCTTGTTTTCTGCTGCCTTGGAGACTTGGACGCGGAACAATGGCTTCAAACTACAAGAGAGGAGATTCCATATGAACATGAGGAAGAACTTCCTGACTGTGAGAGCCGTTCAGCAGTGGAACTCTCTGCCCCGGAGTGTGGTGGAGGCTCCTTCTTTGGAAGCTTTTAAGCAGGGGATGGATGACCATCTGTCAGGGGTGATTTGAATGCAATATTCCTGCTTCTTGGTAGGGGGTTGGACTGGATGGCCCATGAGGTCTCTTCCAACTCTTTGATTCTATGATTCTATGATTCTATGATTCTTCAGGCTTCCTAAGGCACACTTGTTCTGATTCATTGGCACAATAATGGTTCCAATCAGGGGCGGCTCAACCCATTACGCAAAGTAAGCATTTGCAGTATAGTTGATTTTGCCCAGGGGCGCTCTTGACATATGCGAGTTGTAGTTACTAGGATGTATAGTTCACCTACAATCAAAGAGCATTCTGAACTCCACCAATGATGGAATTGAACCAAATATGGCACACAGAACTCCCACGACAAACAGAAAATATATATCAATGATTGGTTTGGGGGGGGGGGCAAAATACTGTTTGCTTATAGTTGAAAATTACCTAGGGCCGCCTCTGGTTCCAATAAACCAGGTGAGGTGGTGGTGGGATAAAAAAATAATAATAATAATAAATTGTCGAAGGCTTTCATGGCTGGAATCACTAGGTTCTTGTGGGTTTTTTCGGGCTATAGAGCCATGTTCTAGAGGCATTTCTCCCGACGTTTCGCCTGCATCTATGGCAAGCATCCTCAGAGGTGTGAGGTCTGTTGGAAGTAGGAAAAATGGGTTTATATATCTGTGGAATGGCTGGGGTGGGGCAAGGAGCTCTTCCCTGCTGCAGTTAGGTGTGAATGTTTAGCTGATCACCTTCATTAGCATTTGAAGGCCTGCCTGAGCCTGGGAAAATCTGTTGCTGGGAGGTGTTAATCTGTGCCTGGTTTTTTCCTCTCTGTTGGGAAAAAACCAGGCACAGATTAACACCTCCCAGCAACAGATTTTCCCAGGCTCAGGCAGGCCTTCAAATGCTAATGAAGGTGATCAGCTAAACATTCACACCTAACTGCAGCAGGGAAGAGCTCCTTGCCCCACCCCAGCCATTCCACAGATATATAAACCCATTTTTCCTACTTCCAACAGACCTCACACCTCTGAGGATGCTTGCCATAGATGCAGGCGAAACGTCAGGAGAAATGCCTCTAGAACATGGCTCTATAGCCCGAAAAAACCCACAAGAACCTAATAATAATAAATATTATTATTATCATCATCATCAACAACAACAACAACAACCTTTAGCAGATTGGTTTTAGGCAGATTTTACCTCCTTTGTTTTCATTTGTATTATAGACAATGCTTGATGAATTGAAGGTGCATGCACAAATTTATTTAGATAGGAATTAGCAACATTAAACTATATAAGAAGCACACAAATGTTCTATAACAGTGTTTCTCAGCCTTCCTAATGCCGCGACCCCTTAATACAGCGGCTCATGTTGTGGTGACCCCCAACCATAAAATTATTATCATTGCTACTTCCTAACGGTAATTGTGTTACTGTTATGAATCATAATGTAGGATCTATTTTCATTCACTGGACTAAATTTGGCACAAATACCCAATAACGGATCTCCATGCAGTCATGTCGGCCTTGGAGGTGTCTATGGACAACACCAGCTCTTTGGCCTAGAAATTGAGCACCAACCCCCCAGACTTGGACACAACTGGACTTAATGTCAGGGGAAAACCTTTACTTTACCTTACCCAATATGCCAAATTTCAATACTGGTGGGGTTGAAGGGATAATTGATTTTGTCATTTGGGAGTTGTAGTTCCTGGGATTTATAGTTCACCTACAATCAATGAGCATTCTGAACCCCACCAATGATGGAACTGAACGAAACTTGGCACACAGAACTCCCATGACCAAGAGAAAATACTGGAAGTGTTTGGTAGGCATTGACCTTGAGTTTTGGAGTTGTAGTTCATCTGCATGCAGTTAGCACTGTGGACTCAAACAATGATTGATCTGGATCAGACTTGGCATGGATACTCAATATGCCCAAATGTGAACACTGATTGAGTTTGGGGAAAATAGACCTTGACATTTGGGAGTTGGTCGTTGCTGGGATTTATAGTTCACTTACAATGAAAGAGCATTCTGAATCATGTCAACGATAGAATTCGGCCAAAATTCCCACATAGAACCCCCATGACCAACAGAAAATATTGTGTTTTTTGATGGTCTTTGGTGACCCATCTGATACCCCCTCGCAACCCCCTCAGGGGTCCCGACCCCCAGGTTGAGAAACACTGTTCTATAAGTAAGAAGCACAATGTTAGATTTTTCTTCAGTATCCTAATTTCTTGTATATATTTTATTGATATTTGACCAGAGTTCCACCCAATTCAGTTTGGCATTTAGAAGGCTCACTTATTCTAGTGAAAAAGCAAAACGTTTTCTTAAACTTTCTTGAACTGAAATCTATAGAATTTAATGCTTTGTGTACCGTATTTGCACTATATGTTATTTTGCCCTGTATTTTATTGATCTGCCACTAGCAGTGTATGTAACTATCAAAAACAATGTCAACAACTTTCAGAACATTTTTTACTGCTTAAACAAAAAAAGTCTAAGTTTTCCCTATGGTATTTTCATTTGATATTTATATACTGAGGGTAGGTCATCTTTATGCAAGAAGTGCTATACTAAAGCAGCTGTCTTTATTGTGATCTGGATCTTTACGCCTGTAGGAGCCTAATTCTTACAGCCGCTCTGCATAGAATGACTTGCCCAAGTGGTTCAATTCCAGCTGATATTGCAGATGCTCAGTACTTAGGACTTGCCGTAACGCTGCTCGTCGAACCTGCCAGACATGAAAATGTCATTAGCACCTCATCCCTTGTATTTCTACAACCCATTATCCCACCACTCTCTGTCCTGGCATTGCACATCCCAGTATTCAATCCTGTAAATATGAATGCCTACAATGACTGCAATCTGGGGAAGATAAATTCACTACACTTGCTTTCGGTCCCCCTCCCTGGAGTTGGTGGAATCCTTTTGCCAAAACAGAATATGTGGATGAGGGAAGGAGCAGATAGGAAAGAAAGAGAGACCAGCCAGTGTATGAAGCAAGCCAAACAGCAAGATGCACCACTAAATGTTAGTGTATATGTTATTTCACAAACCAGTCAATGAGGGATCTTTTTCTATGGTGGCAGCCATCTATGTACAAACTGCAATGAAAGTGAATCACCATTATTAATGCAAAACAAAAAACCTTTTTAAGAATTCTCATCAGAGTTCATGATATGAATATGAACTTAAGTGTTACTATACTATACAATATTAATTGTAAGGAAAGGTCACAATAATGAGTAGCTGTGATATTGTGATGGGATGGGGGTGACTGAGAAGAATTATTTTTCTATGAATTGAAAGTTGTCCTCTTGTTTTGATAGGATTTTTGTCCACTATACCTCCATAAAAGGAGATATAGTGGACAAAACTATGCCTGTCCGAATGTATCTCCTTCTATGTCCCACCGCGGAGTTTAAGATCTTCTGGGGAGGCCCTGCCTCTATCACAAGTGAGGCTGGTGGGAATGGGGGACAGGGCTTTCTCAGTGGTGGCCCCTCTTCCAACACTATGCCCATCTAGTTACAAGAAATCCCAAGTGCAAAGCTTGTCAATGCAGGGCAAGGAACCCTATACTGCTCCGGCCCGGCATACCTGTCCGAACGTATCTCCTTCTATGTCCCACCTCGGAGTTTAAGATCTTCTGGGGAGGCCCTGCTCTCGGCCCCGCCTCTATCACAAGTAAGGCTGGTAGGGACGAGGGACAGGGCCTTTTCAGTGGTAGCCCCTCTCCTGTGGAATTCACTCCCCGGGAAAATTAGGTCATCAACGTCCCTCCTCTCCTTCAGAAGGAAGCTGAAAACATGGATATGGGACCAGGCCTTTGGGTAATCTGGCAGACTGACAAGGTAATGATGACCAGAATTTGGAAAGGACTATGGTAATGCTGAATGGACTTACGGATTTTAGAACTTGGTGAACGTTGGCCACTAGATTGGCTTTTTAATTGTTATTGTATTAATTTAATATTTTAATTATTGTGATTACTGCTGTTATGTATTTTATCTGATGAATTGTTGGCATCAAATTGTGCCGGTTGTAAGCCGCCCTGAGTCCCCCCTAGGGGGTTGAGAAGGGCGGGGTAGAAGTGCCCGAAATAAATAAATAAAAGAGGGGGGGGAGGTTGCTCTCAGGTCTAGACCTTACCATTATCAGTTGCTTATCAGCATAGTATAGCTCTTCTTTTTTTTCAGCCAGTTGCCTTTTCCTGGCCCTTTCAAAACACCTCTCCTCCTGCTTTTGCAGTTGTAGGCTCATGCGGCGGCCACGTTCCCAGCTGCAGAAACAGTAGTGTAATGAAACAAAGGGCCAGTATTCAGAAGTAACTAGTTACAAATCATAGAGTTGGAAGAGACCACAAGAGCATCAAGTCTACCCCCCTGCCATGGAGGAACACACAATCAAAGCACCCCCAACAGATGACTATCCAGCTTTTGCCTTAAAAATTGTTGCGCATAGCATGTTTCAGTCAGGTCCAATGCAGAAGACAAAATAACATTGCACCCAGGCAAGAGGAAAAAGAAAAGAACTTTACTCTTATCAGCAGAGTTAAAACATAAGCTTGTAATGTCGCAAAAACAAACAATGCAACAAACTTACATAGTCCTTGTAAGCAATACAGAATAAGGCTTCTTCATCTTCATCCAAATGAGAGAGCAGTAGAAATGTTTGAGCAAAATGCCTGAGCAAAGGTTCCTCAGAGCAAAAGCTAAACTGTATTCTAAAACCCATACAGTTATACCCCACCAGGTGCAGTCCAAACTTACTAGTTGACATACATTAGCAGCTGCACATAATAATCAACAGTATAAGGTTTTCTTTAACACACACATACTTGATCCTGTTATGACTTACTGTAAAAAAAAACCCAGAGAAGGACCAACTGCTTATAATTAGTTTCTTCCCCAATAGCTGAGGCATAAATACATTGCCTTTGGGTTGTAACTCAAAGGATATGTTCACTCTTCTATCACAGCAACAGTTGAGGCATAGGCATATTCTTCCTACATCACTATTCTACATGTTCTGTCACGCGCTGGGCCTGTAACAGCTGTACTTTTCTATAGGACATATACTTTAAGCCCAGCGGGAAGCCAGGGGCGCCTCAAAGAGAGGTTGTCAGGGATTTTCTAAAGTGATGGTCTTTAGAGTCTTTAATGATACAACAAAGTCTTTATTATGGAACAAACAACAAATCTTCAATAGTTCAAACAACACTTCAAGGCTTTCTTAGTCTAGTCTTCAATGGACTGGCACCTGACTTCGATCAACTGAACCTTCTCCGTAGGAAAAACCCCTTTTTAACCTCTCCCAGGCTGCTTTCTATCTATGCCTCATCAGTGTGGGTGCTACTACCGATTCCAAGTGCGTCTGGCTATCGAGCAGACCTTACCGGCTGAGGCTTGAAGATATTTCAGCTGAGTTCAGTGAATCAGTTTCCCTGGATGGTCAGTTTCCCTAGATGATCCTTTTTCCCTAGAGGTTTTTTTCCCCCCTGGATGCTCCTTTTTCCCCTGGATCAGGCCCGTAGCCAGGATTTTGTTTGGGGGGGTGAGTTTTGGGGGGGGGGCTGAGTCTGAGTGAAAGAGGGTCTACCCTAGAAAACCTTTTGTATCATTACCCCAATACCCCCATGCATATGGGATATATTGAGCATGGTGATCAGATCATGATATGAATAAACATAACAGTTTAAATAATGCACCAGTAAGGCCTTTTCGCAGACCACCATGAGACCCCCAAGCCCCCCCCCCCCCCCCGGCTACATACCTGCCCTGGATGCTCTTTTTCCCCTGGATGCTCTTAAGAAAGGGAGCTTTTCTACGGGACGAGCTGGTCTATGTCCTAAAGCTTAGCTACCTTGTGTGAGGCAGACCAAAAAAATGGCTCCTTTCCCTCCCAGAGCCCAGAACAGGGGGTGGAACCAAAGCTTAACTATGGTGGACAGGAGCCCTGCCCTATGACTGCAAAACAGATAACAGAAAGAAAATAAAGTTGGAGCTCCTGGTACAACCATACCAGCACACTACATATTGACCTTCCTTTGCCATGCAATTTTCCCAGCATGATACCAACTTTCTAATGTCATCAGCAAAAAAATGTTTTTGGTTAAGCATGTAGCCACAGATGCACTGCTGCTTTCACATCATCATCACATGAACATCTTCTCCTTAAAGCTTCTTTGAGTGGTCCAAACAATGGAAATAAGATGACACTAAATCAGGAGTATAAGTTTAGTGTTCCATAACCTCCAACAATTATCTGGGGGTTTCCAATGTGTGGGCTTCAATGTGAGGGTGAGCACTGTTGTGCAACAATACAGTTCCTTTAGACAGATTTCCTCTTCTTTTAGAGCAGATTTCTAGTTTCAGTTCTCTCTGGAGCATGTCACAACATGTTGCATTTGTGGCAGTTGTTCCACGTTTCAAGAATAGACCTTCGAGAATCCCAGAGGACAGTCAACATCAACTTTCCTGCCAACAATTGAGATGATGGATGCATCTATTGTGCACTCTGCCACTTGCTTTTCAGCTTGTAATGGTGAACTCACGTTTCATCACCAATTATGCAGCAGAAAATTGTCATCTTCTTCACAATAATGAACCAAGTATTGAGGACAAACATCTAAATGCTTGCACTTGTGCTCCTTTGTCAATAGCTTAGGCACCCACCTGGCACAGTCTTACTGATTTTAAGACTGTCAGGAATCAGGGCATAGGCAGATCCAACACTCAGATTAAGCTTTCCTGCAACCTTTTTGACTGTTGTTATTTGCAAATCAGTCCCAGGGTTCTTTCTTCATTCCTCATGGTCATGGCTATAGCTGGACATCTGGAGTGCTCTTCATCCGTCACACCCGTACGGCCATTTCGGACATTTCAATCCACTCAGACGACTCTATGAGAGATAACTTTATCCTTATACCGAGCGCAAATGCCGAGATGAATTTGTACTCCTGGCACAGAATGTTGTGACAAAGTGCTATTCCTCTTTAATACAATTTAAGTTTCACAGCCGTCTTCACCACAGCGTGACAACTCTTACACTAAACTGCAAGGTCAGCCACCTTGTCAGACAGGCTAGTCATATGACAGTCTCAGATGCAACACATTACTACTACTCCTCACCAATTCCAATGAAAATATGGAAGTACAGAAGCTTTTTGAGAACTCTCCTATATAGCATATATCCTCATGTAGCATCTATCGTCTATTTTCATTTAGTCTTCAGCTGGACACCACAAAAAGGAAAACCAGCCTATTCAGCAAGCCTTGCAAATGCAGATTTATTATCAGTAAATGTTTGATTTTTACACCTTATTGTATATGCCTATTAGCTTGGGGACCCGGCGCTGCCCAGGTTATTAGAGAAAGTGGGTAATGGCGGTTCTGTATGCCAAGTTTGGTCTTTATTGGTCATTGGATGACAGTTGCATTGTTTTCAGGAAGTGAGTGAAGGTACTTGAAATCCCATCATCCATGGTCCATCCTCCTCCAAACAGCAGAAGGATATAGAGTGGGTCATGGGGGCTCTGTGTGCCAAGTTTGGTCTTTGTCATTGGATGAGGGTGGCAGTGGTTTCAGTAAGTGAGTGAAGGTACTGCAAGTCCCATCATCCAAAGTCCATCCTCCTTCAAACTGCAGCAAAATGTAGAGTGGGTCATGGGGGCTCTGTATGCTAAGTTTGGTCTTGATCAGTCATTGGTTTAGGGTCACAGTGGTTTCAGTAAGTGAGTGAAGGTACTGCAAGTCCCATCATCCATGATTCACCCTCCTCCAAACTGAAACAGGATGTAGAGTGGGTCATGGGGGCTCTGTGTGCCAGTTTGGTCTTGATTGGTCATTGGATAAGGGTCGCAGTGGTTTCAGTAAGTGAGTAAAGATACTGCAAGTCCCATCATCAATGGTCCATCCCCCTTAGAACTGAATCAGGCTGTAGAGTGGGCCATGAGTACTCTGTGTGCCAAGTTTGGGCCTGGTCTGTGATTTGTAGGGGCTACAATGTTCTGTGGGAAGTGAAATCAGTCATGCAAAGATTTATTGAGCAGAAATGGGTTGTGAGTAAAAAAAATTACCTGCTCTAGTCTACATTTTACTAACTAACTTATTTGCAAGGATATCATGGCTGACCTTGTCAAAGTCCTTACTGAAATCAAGATATGTTACATCCAAAGCCTAGCTTGTACAGTAGGGGAAAGAGTATTTAGTCAGATAAAAACTGTACAAGTTCTCCCACTTAAAAATATGAGAGGCCTATAATTGACATCATAGGTAGACCTCAACTATGGGAGACAACACATCCAGAAAATCACATTGTCTGAATTTTAACAAATTTATTTGCAAATTATGATGGTAAATAAGTATTTGGTCCACAACAAAAGTTCATCTCAATACTTTGTTATATATCCTTTATTGGCAATGACAGAGGTCAAACGTTTTCTGTAAGTCCTCACAAGGGTGGCACACACTGTTGCTGGTATATTGGCCCATTCCTCCAAGCAGATCTCCTCAAGAGCAGTGATGTTTTGGGGCTGTCACTGGGCAACACTGCCTTTCAACTCCCTCCAAAGGTTTTCTATAGGGTTGAGATCTGGAGACTGGTTAGACCACTCCAGGACCTTGAAATACTTCGTTGCCCTGGCGGTGTGCTTGGGATCATTGTCATGCTGAAAGACCCAGCCAAGTTTCATCTTCAGTGCCCTTGCTGATGGAAGGAGGTTTGCACTCAAAATCTCATGGCCCTATTCATTCTTTCATGTATACGGATCAGTCACCCTTGTTCCTTTGCAGAGAGACAGCCCCAAAGCATGATGTTGCCACCCCCATGCTTCACAGTAGGCATGGTGTTCTTTGGATGCAACTCAGCATTTTTTCTCCTCCAAACACAACAAGTTGTGTTTCTGCCAAACAGTTCTACTTTGGCTTCATCTGACCATATGACATTATTCCAATACTCTTCTGGATCAACCAAATGCTCTCTAGCAAACTTCAGTCGGCCCTAGACACATACTGGCTTAAGCAGGGAGACACGTCTGGCACTGTAGGATTTGAGTCCCTGGTATTGTAGTGTGTTACTGCCCTAGTGTTTATCAAGCCTAACACCATTGTCCACACTGGAGCCAAAGATATAGGGACCTATCCCACCCCATGATCACCAGACACACCACATTCATTCTCAGTTGTGCTACTCACATGGGTGGATCCATAAATGGATAGGCACTTCAAAATAATCCAAAATATCTGAGTTTTTTGCTACAGCAAAGATCAACTAATGATGATGCTGGAGGGAATCAGGGTGGCTCCTAGTTGGACACTTCCTGGACCAATCAGGAGCTAGTGCAGGAGTCTTGTAATAAATATGCTCTGTGTTCACAATTACAGTATGTAAGTACTTTGAAGTGCTTTCTCTGCTGACATCCTCTTTGGCCATTCAGAATAAACCTCTGGTTTTGACTTCAACCCATCTGTGTCTCATTGAGCCTTCTGAAAAGCTTGACACGTGAGGCCCTCAAACCTGTAGTTCACAGAAGCTGACTTAAATCAGACCACTGATTTAGAACATGTTGATGTTTGTCATCAATGTATGATTTTTTCATATCTCCTTTTTCAACAGGGTATTAACATTTTTCTACTTAAGAGGTTTTCTACTATGTTGTTTCTATACCAAAAAAAGAGCTTCTAGTTACTAAGTTGTACAGGAGGGAGGGAGGGAGGGGTGGGGGTTTTTGAAATCAAATTACCTTTTGAGCAATTTAGTAAAATCATGAATTTTCTCTAACATCTGAAATGGAATGGAAGAATGTTAGTGTAAAATCAAATGATCAAGCTTGCATTCTGGTTCCAAAGGGAGAAGCAGACATTTTCTCATAACATTTGTTTGTATGATGTAGTAAACATTATCAACTTTTCACTCCATTATTTCTAGTCAGCTTTTAGAATACAATCATATGCCCAGGATCTCATGGCTCTGTTTATTCTATAAGTTTACAAGAGAACAACCAAAATAGCGAATATAGACAGTCCCTGAGTTACAAACATCTGACTTACAAACAACTCATAGTTAAGAACAGATAACAGGAAGTGAGAGAAATCTCTCCCAAGGAAGGGAAATTCACTCCTGGAAGAGTTATCATGGGAAAAATGTGGCTCAACTGAAGTTTTATCATCAACCCTTATTTCCACAATAAATCAAATATCAGACAGAAAGCGAGCTGAAATCTTCTGAGCAGCAAAAAAAATACCACAGGGGTGTTAACCTTTCCATATGTGATGCAAAGTGTGTGTGTGTGTGTGTGGTTACACTTAAAATGTACTTATTCTGAGTTACATACAAATTAAACTTAAGAACAAACCAACAGAACCTATCTTGTTCATAACTTGGGGACTGCTTGTAATATTAATGTAGAGTTGTCAAAGTGAGATGTGCTTTTAGCATGAAGTATTTGAGGAAGCATTTATAGAAATTCCAGGAAAATTAAAAGTTTTAATAATCTATTAATTAACTTTCGTTAACTTCTTCTGGAGCAATGTACAGGCTTATGGGAATGGCTACTTTACACCTAAAGTGATATTCAGGATGCATTTTGAGAGTCTTATAGTAAAGTACACTTCACTGTACACAGTGGGACTTCTGATTAGATTTGTACAGAACTGCACTTTCCTTGTTGAAAGTTTGAGCAAAGTAACTTCAATATGATTTATACTAAAACTTTAGATAGTTTGCTGCATGAAAAGGCCCAACATAATGTATGGACAGGGCACTAGGAGAGCAGGATACATAGGAGCAAGGGTGCACCTCACAAAAGGCAATGTCTCACAGTCTCTGTTTGATTGATTTGAGAGCCATGTCAAAACTCAGATGAGTTAGGAGGGATGTGGAAAGGCCAATGTTGATAGCTTTCTTAGAGATGATCTTAGACCAGCTGCTTATGTACTCATCCTGAGCTAAGTGTGGCATCAAGCCAGACCCTAAACTAAAAACTCTGATCTTGAGCCAATATTTAAGTGCCCACCACCAGGCTCTTATTGACAGGGGTGCTTCACCGGATTCAAGTAGTAAGACACAAGATGGTACACATCTGGGGAGCTGGAAAATGGCCCTCAAGAACTGTGTTTGCTGTAGGTCTATTTTTGATGTTAGGCCCCCAATCCAGATGCTGGAAGCCTACAGCAGCTGGGAAGCTATCTTAGCATTAAAGACTTTAGTTGCCGAAGGTATGAACTGCCCCCCTTTAGTAGCAGTAAAACACAGAATGGCATAATCAACCCCCTACTAAGGAATTTACCAGCAAGTTCAGTGAAACTTTATGTGAAGTTACTACTTAGTGACAACTTTCCCCATGTGACCTTGGCGGTTGCCAAGTTTCTTTCTGAGGCAGCCAGGATTAGACAATTCGCAATTTTAGACACAGGCTGAAAGTTGTTTACCTATGCTTTTAGCCAACTTGTGTTTTAAGCTATTTTTAACTGTTGTTAATTTTACCCATCTGTGTGCCCAAGCAACTGGTTGTTCTTAATCTCATTGCCTGTATACCTTGAGGCTGAAACGCGCTGGCACTTCTTGTAGCTTTTACCCTTGTTTTTAGCCAACATGTGTTTTAAGCAGCTTTTACTGTTTGCAAATTTTATCCACTGGATGTTCTTAATCTCATTACCTTAATCTCATAACTTAGATAATTTATCTATCTATCTACTAAAACTTGAGGAAATTCATTTTAAATCAAACAATTGAACTATATATATAAAAATGTAATGTTCGTTTGTGCTACCATCAGAACTCAAAAATCACTGGGGGAATTGACACCAAATTTGTACACGATACACCTAAAAACCCAATTTATGTTCTCCACTCAAAAAAATAAATAATAATTAACTGGAAAGAACTTACCCCCCACAAGGCTAAATGCCTATATAGAGCCTGTGTTAAAAGAACCCTCTCCCTCACCCCTCCCTCCTGCACGAGGGGGGAAAAACCAACCTCTGAGAGAGAGAGAGAGAGAGGGAGGGAGGCGCGACACAAGAGAGGGAAAGGTGGCCGGTCTATCCCTCTGGCTACCCCCTGCCTCTCTCTTCCCAAAGGATTGAGAGGGGGGAGGGAGGGGGAGAGAGAGAGAGTGTGTTCCTTTTCTTCTTGCCTCGCTGCCTCCCCTGGGCTGCTGGGAACTCCCACGGATTCTGTGTGTGTGTGTCCCCAGAATGGGAAAGCATTCTGGGAAATAAAGTCCAGTATTCAAAGAAGGGACAAAAAGGCATGCTCTGTGTGTTAGCAAAGGCTGTCCAGGAAGGCAGAATCAAAACACTCCCAAAAGATGGCCATCCATTTTTACTTTATAGCAACCCTGGGCTATAATATATCTACAATAATAATAATATCTATATATCTATCATAATAATACCTATCAATCTATTGATAATATATATGTCTATGATATCTATATGTCTTTAACAATAATATCTACATTTCTATCATAATATCTATATGTCTGTAATAATGTCTATATGCCTATAATAATATCTACAGGTCTATAATAATATCCATATGTCTATAATGATAATATCTTATTTATTTATTTATTTATTTAGTACACTTGTATACCGCTAGTATCTCAGCCTAGAGCGGCGACTCACTGCGGTTTACAGCATTTAAAAACAACAATATTCAGATTAAAAATATAAAACACATACATATATAATACACAGTATTGGGCCACCAATACAGACCAATGCATCTCTTAAATGAAAATCATAATCCAATTCGTTGTCGGTAATTGCCAGTCCTTAATCAGAAACATCATCGCGTCGACTTAGCCGAACGCTTGCTCAAACA